CTTCGATGAGCTCGTCAAGCCTTTCGGTCGAATATCGTCCGAATCCCTGGATACATCTTTATTCTGCTAAGGAAACGCAACGAAAGACAACAGCCTTACCTTCCTGCGCGATTTCAAATCATAATTTCTCGGGACGCTAACACTATCAGCAATTTCCATCTGGAATCTGTTCCTTCCACTACCAAAGTAAGTAATCTAAAGCAGCTTGAAGACTGTAGTAGACCCGAAACATGCAACGCCACTACCTTGCATCGAAGTTTGCTTTCTTGCTCTTTCCTATATATTTCGGTTTGCCGTATCGCTTCGTCTAGACTGCGGCAAGCACTATCGTAATCTTCATCTTGTCCTTTTTGAGGTACAATCATTCCTTCTTTTTCAGCTACTGAGTGATTGAAAGATTTCTAGGAAATGATCAGAAGTAATTCGGTAAAGGAAAAATGGCAGTGATTAAATGACTTACAGCGAAATGTTCCAAATGAGAGCATAAATTTATTTTTTCGTCTAGTCCTATACATTGGTCAATCAATGGACAACTGGAAGGGCATATTGAACAAAGTCCCACAATCTACACGAAGTTTTCACTTACCCCTCCTGGTCCTGTCGAAGATTGTCGTACAATAAAATGAGATCATAACAAGTTTGAAAACCCGCCAACGTGGTCAAGAGATCTTTTATTTTCCGTTTATTATAGGTTGCTGCTTCAAACATAACAGCACGACTATCTGGATGTGTTTCAGCGCGATATTTGAGGCCAAGAGTATGGATCCTGAAAAAGACAAATGGACCAATATAAATAAAAAATTAACCCTCCTTACTTTTGCAAAAGTCTTTCTAAATCCGGCATTTTACGAAGCAGCTCGCTAGTTTTGTCGCTAAATCTTGCAGCAGCAGGAGACATGAGCCATTCGACAGCCTCTTGACGAGCTTTCACGACATTTACATCACAAGTTGGCGCGCATATCCATTGCCGCAAAAGACGTTTTCCTGAAAACGAAATTCTTCCCATGAAAACGGAAAACGGAACTAACCGAACGGAGTTTGGCATTTGTTAACCGTGCTGTACAGTGATAGTGAAGCTGCTTGTGCATCAGTATGTTCTCCAGGAACAAGGTTCAAGTTGTCAAGAGTTATTCCATCCAGGATCATCTGACGATTAGACCATTCCTCCTGTTTAGCAGCGGCTTCAATACTCGAATTCTCCTCTAGTGGCTCCAATTTGTTGAAGTCACGCATGGTAATCATGTCTACGTCAATTAGACACTTTTGTAGATAGCTGTAACAAAAAATTCACATCAAAAGCTTCTTATCAGCATACATACTGTATCACAGCTCCCAAAGCGCTAAGCGTGAGCATGGAGTCCAGCTTTGGCTTCGGTACAACAGAATCCTCAACCAGCATATTGCGCAAGGTTTCAGGCCAAGCTTTGTGGTCAGCACCAAGATACGCCTCGTCAGACAGCTAAAGTATTTACTTAGTACTTATTCATGGACAGTACTAGTACTTATTCATGGACAGTTGGCTGAATTATTTATACAAACTCACTAATTTCAGCGTCTGTTCCGCTTCCAAGAACTGTTTCTTTGGGGCAAGTCCTTCCTTTTGCACTGTCCCAAGCATGCCATTCAAAATCGTCTTGCAGTGTGTCGAAAGGTGTCCTCTCTCGAAGAGTACCTAAAGAACTGAATGAACCTCGCGATAAAGATGGAATTGAATCATCATCACCTGTACAGGGGTAAAATTTGCAATGAGTGTTCGTAAAGTAGAACTATAATCATCATCACGAAACTCCGACAGGAAAAACTTGCCAACAGAGGTATCAACAAAACAGATACCGTATGTGGATACATGACCCTCAACCTGGAGATGATTTTCGATTAGTATACAAACGAACCATGAGGATACAAGGTCTTACCACTTCTTTGATGCTGAGCAAGTACTTGGACTGAGTCTCTCCGTTATCGGTTTCACCTCCTCCATACAAATTGCAGCCATCTAACACTGAGTAAGTTCGAGTTCCGCAAGTGGTGACGCGACACACTTCCCTACAAAGCAATCCGGATGCAAATATATTCTCAGGATAACATACTGCAGCTATGGTAAGTACCAAGTAGAAAACAGAGAAAACTGAGGTCACGGTAGAATTCACAAAAAGTGGAATCTATCGTTGATTCGTTGACCGCACGGACTGCAGATCA